TTTTCTAAACAATTTTTTTTAGTTATATTAAACCAAAAGAAAAAAAAAATAATAAATTAATTTACGTTCACTCGCAAAACATGGAACATTTAAACTCAAATCTGTCTCAAGTCCACAGCTGCCTTCGCTAAGAGGTCAACCTTTTCGCCGAGGAAAAGTGGGGTAAGTGCTAACAAATTGTTCCATACACTGCGAGAAAATTGAACAAGAATGAACGTGGAAAAATTTTGTATATAAATATTATTCTCATATTATTCTCTTTCAATATTATTCTATTCTTATTATACACAGAAAAAAAAACTGAAAAGCTACTCCTAAGGAAATTTTAAGTAAATAAAAAAAAAAAAAAAATAGATAAATATATATTTTTTTTTTGTATAATTTCCGATAAGTTTTGATCTTTTTTAATTCTCTTTTGATTTTTTTTTAATTCTTAAACTACACTGAGGAAGAAACCCTTAACTCTAATTGTATTAGAGGATCCTAAGAATTCGTTAAAATGGAGTTAAATACATGCGGATTATAAAAATAATGAATTACACGAACCATTGAAGACATTAATTTACATGGTGAAAGATTATTTTTTTTGGAATTTAATTTAAACGATCAAAATTTGAACGAATTTTACAACTAGCCGTAAGCCAAATTCTGTTTCCGTTACAATTCTATTACGCAACTATAAAATGTCATTAAACTTTGTAAACACACCCCCCAAATAATATTAAGCAAAACAACATTAGTATGTACGTTCGATCGATAATATTCACCGTTAGATAGGAGATATGTTATGCTAATTTTAGGGTACTATATATTGAATAAAAATTGTATTTAAAATGAATCTTAGTATGAATAGTAGTTCTCTCCTTTATTTAACTCTGCAGATGCTTCCACAGTCGTAGGGTATTAGGGGTCACCGGAGCCTAGCTCTGTAGGATGGTGATCATAGGATGGGCGGGTATATTGCGACCACGACGACATCTGTGGCATCGCTAAACTATGAGTTTTCTCGATCTCTTCCGGTTCTTTCATCTCTCTATTCTATCCTCTTTGAAGTTTATCCATCTTCTCTTCCGGTTACGATTCTCGCATTTTTTATTGTTGTCGTTAGCACTAGAGGTGGGCGCGGGAGTTACAGTCTCGTAACCGAGGGAGTAAAGGGGATCTCGTATATGGCTATCGCTTTTTCAAACGCTGGAAAGAAGGCTTGCAAATAAACGACCGTTTAGCTTGGAGTACAGAATAAGAATGATCTTTTTATTATAAAGAAGTATGTAGGGGAATATGTATGAGTGCACGAGAATTGTGCGTGTCCGTCAGAGTTCTTTTTTTGGCGATGTTCCATCGGCGTTAGTTTTTTACAGTTGCCGTTTCTGTGTTCTCTCCCTGTGGCTGTGGAGAGGGAATGTTAACTAGGGCATGTTAACTCCTCCCCCCCCAGTCCGAAGAGAAGGCCACAGAGGGGGAATGGCCGGATCGGAGTCAGGTAGCCAGGCGACGTGTTGTTTGTGTGCGCCACGAACTCCGACGATATTTGAATTTAACAATTTATATCAAAAATGGTTATCTTAATAATAAACATGTGTGTTGTGTTTAGGGTATAACTTAATTTATAATATGTTCATCTTATGCTAACGTTACAGTTTGTTTACTTATTATATTCCTTATGTTGTATTTGTTCCTTATTAAATAAAAATTTAGCGATAAGGTTTAGTTTACTGATTAAGGGACTATCAGTTCAGTGTGTCTATATTATAGTTTATCCTATTACTATATATTGAAATGGATAAATGTATCATCTAGGTTAGTATTGCTGCTTAAGCTGGTGCTCCGGGTTTTATAAATTTCTTAACTATTTTTCTAATTTTTTGTTTGTGTAACTTTTGACCTTTAGTTGTTAGGAAGGTGACGCCTTTTTCCCTACCTACTTTGTGTAATGAAAATCTCGGAGTTATCTTGTTTCTACGGTTTTCTTTTCTAAATACCGTATCATTAGGTTCAACTTGGACTGGTGTCTCTCTGTCCTCGTTTAATTTAGCCAATCTTTTTTCTGTGGTCGAGTTTAAATGTTCCTGTACTTTTGGGTATATTTCTTTCCTAAATTCGTTTAATTTCTTAAGATAGTCGTGGTGATTGTTGAATGTTATTGTTTCGTTGAATATGTGAGTTCTTCCGTGAAAGAGCTCGAAAGGGGTATAAGAAGTGCTGGAGTGTATTGCATTGTTATATGTTGCAACAGCTTCTGCGAGTATCTGGGCATGCCCGCATTCTAGGCGTGCTTCCTTTCGTTTGTTGATGATTATTCTGTATAGTTCAGTTAAGGTGGAATGCAGTCTTTCGACCGTAGCGTTGCCCGTTGATTGTTGAAATGAAGTTTTATGAGCTGTTATTTGGAATTGGGTTAAGAGGTCATTGAATAGACTGCCTGAAAATTCCGCGCCCTGGTCGAAAATTATTTCCTTTGGTGGGCCGTAGTGGCTTATAAATTGTAATAGGGCATCGGCGACTTTCATTGAATTCCTATTGCTAAGGGGGTAGGCTTGCGCTAGCTTGGTGAATTTGTCTATAATGGTAAGGTTGCAAGCATTGTTAATAAAACATATGTCTATATGCACGACCGCCAATGGTCCCTCTGGGGCGGATGGAGTTTGCAACAGTGGTCTATGGGGGTGTCTGTCGTACTTGAGGGTTAGGCAGGTATCGCAATTTTTTATAATTTTTGTGATAATGTCTTTTAAATGCGTAAAATAAATGTCCCTTTTTAAATGGTTATATGTTTCATCTATCCCCCTATGATTGGTGTTAAAGTGGTACTCTCGGATTTTGTTTTCCTGGTCATGGGGATCAGTAATTTCGGTTAGCTGTATTTTGCAGCGGGAAAGTTTGTATACATCGTTTTCAAAGAAATAGTTATTATAGGATTCTTCTATTATTTTGAAAATATCGTCTGGTGCAAATATTGCGAATGTTTTATTCGGTTTCAGGATTGTTTGGAGGGCGTTTGTAACGGAATCGAAAGTATGCACGGGTTCTGTGATTATGTGTCTTATTTTTTGGGCAAACGGTGTTTCTATTTTTCTTGCAGTTGTTGGTCCAGTACGGAATACTATTTGACTATTAAAGTGATTTAGTGGTTGTGAAGCGATTGGTATAATTTGTGGGTCTTCGTTTATGTTCAAGTTTGGCTCAATTCTGCTAAGTGCATCGGCGACTACATTTTGCGACCCTTTTTTGTAATCGATTTTGTAGTCGTAAGGGGCCAGGATTGTTTTCCATCGAAGTAGTTTTGTATTCTGGCCTTTCAGATTGTCTAACCAGATTAATGGCTAATGGTCTGTGACTATTTTGAATCTACGCCCGAAGAGGTATGGTCTGAAATGACCTACAGACCAAATGATAGCTAGCATTTCTTTCTCTATCGTAGAATAGCGGACTTCCGTATCCGATAGTGTCCTGCTAGCGAAGGATATGGGTTTGTCATTAGTTTCCGGGCCTTGTGACAACACAGAGCCTATCGCATAGTTACTTGCGTCTGTGGTCAACGTGAACGGCTTATTAAAATCAGGGTATATGAGTATGGGATCATTACAAAGGAGATCTTTCGACGTTTCGAATGCCTGTTTAAATTCCTCATCTATTATTATAGATTTCCCTCCTTTTAATTGTCTCGTCATGGGTTTAGTTATTCTTGCGAAGTCCTTAATGAATTTCCTGTAATACCCTAATAGTCCCAAAAATGACTTAATTTCCCTAGCTGTCTTTGGGCAGGGGAAGTCCTTGATGGCTTGTATCTTAAGTGGGTTTGGCTTGACTCCTTCCTGGGTGACGATGTGTCCCAGGAAGCTTATTTCCTTCCTTAAAAAGTGACACTTGCTCGGCTGGATTTTTAGATTTGCGTTTTGGAGCTTTATGAATACAGATTTAATATCTGCTATGTGTTTTTGGAGTGAGGGTGAGAATACTATTATGTCGTCGAGATATACGAGACAGACGTTACCAACTAGGTCACCTAAGACGTTGTCCATAACGCGTTGGAACGTGGCAGGGGCGTTCTTGAGCCCGAAAGGCATCCTCGTGAACTCATAATGCCCATTTTCGACGGTGAATGCCGTCTTGTTGGCGTCGCGTGGGTTCATTTGTATTTGGTGAAAACCACTTGCTAAGTCTATTGTTGTGAAATACATAGTCTTTCCTAAGCTGTCTAGTATATCCGCAATGTTCGGAATAGGGTATCTATCAGCGATCGTTTTTTCATTTAATTTTCGAAAATCTATTACCAAGCGCCACTTTTTTTCGCCTGTGATGTCCCCTTTCTTAGGTACGACCCAGACGGGTGCACTCCATGGGGAATAGCTGCTTTTTATGATGTTCTGTTCCAGCATTTTTGAAATTTGCTTTCGAACTTCGTCTTTATGAATAAATGGATAACGGTAGGATTTTGTGTGAATCGGTATATTATCTGTTGTTGGTATTGAGTGTTTGACTACGTTAGAGAACGTTAGTTGATTGTTTTCACCGTGAAAAAGTCTTTTGAATGATTTGCATAGTTTTAGAATATGTTTTTTTTCCTCGCTATTGAGGTGTTCCGTCTGAATGTTAAATTGTTGATTATCCGGTAATTCTGTATTAGTTGCCGCGGACATGCAGTTTAAGTATTGGTGGGTTTGTGGAGAGAACTCTATTGCCTGTAACGGTTCTTCCAGATAAAGTGTTTGGATCTGGTCTGAGTTATTACAGACTTCGAAATAGGCGGATCCTGCGATTGCGGTGTATAAGCCACCTGTTATGACTATTTGATTATCCAAATTAGTGGTTTCATATATAAAGTCTCCCTGCATGAAGTTTACTGGGAGCGGTAGTCGCAATTTGGTATTTTGTGGTATGGTATGTAATGTATCTACAGGGTTTGCTCTTGTGAGTATTGGAATGGCGGTTTCTGATGTTTCTAATATGGAGTCGGCAAAGTTTATTTTTGCATTTAGGCCGGATAGGAAATGCATGCCTAGAAGACCATTGAAGTGAGGGTGGAAGTTAAATAGTAAGAACTTAAAATTGGGTATTTTTTTGAACTGTTTGAAATTTATTCCATCTGTATATTCCCGAATTTTGAATGTACTGAGTACAGTGTGGATATTTATATCAGAGGTAAGTTTTTTGATGCGGTCTTCGTTAATAAGTGCTGGGTTTATTAATGAGTAGGTAGATCCAGTATCTATTAGAAATTTGAGAGGTTTTGACACCATGAAGTTTGATGATAGGAAAACAAATGGCAAGGAAGATCCGTGACTCTTCTTGCTTATGTAACCGACTGGTTTCCCGAGGCTTCTAGTAGAAAATTTTGATCATCGTTGATGTTACATAGGGGAGCGCTTGGATTATGGTTGTTCTTGCCTTGGTGGTTTAGGGTCTGCTCTGGTTTGGTGTTATTGTGGAAGGGGTTCCTACCCAAAGTTTGTCTATCGTGTCGACCATTACTATCGTTATTGGAATTATGTTGACTTGTGAAGCGTCTATTATCATTGTTGTTAAAATTTTGCTGTCGCTGTGTAAAGCGACTATTATTGTCGTTGTTGGTGTTATCATGTCGTGGTACATGGCGGCCGTTGTTCCCATTATTATAATTCTGTTGTCCTAATATGTAGCGTCTATTGGAGTTATTGTAGGTTGATTGTCCTTTCGCGTATGGGTGATTCGTGTATGTCGAGCTGTCGCGTCGTCGATTTTCTTGGTGTTTATTTAGGTTTCTAAAGAAGTTTAATTCGACCTGTCCGTACTCGTACGCTTTCTCGATTGTCTCTGGTCTTTGATTCCTAATGGCTGACCTAAGTGGGTCCTTTAATCCAACTAAGAAAGTATTTAGGCAGAATCTGTCATACTGTTCCCGTTTGACTGTGAGTGAGTGTTCACTAGGGTCTGCTTCTCTGGCCAGGGACATTAATTCGCTTCTTATTTTGGTGGCTGTGTAATATAGTTTTCCCATACTGAGTCCGTCTGGAAGATTATGTAGCTCTCTAACAAGCATTTCTTCTGTTTTTTTGCTAGAGTATAGTCGCTTGAGATTTGCTTTGATATCATCCCAACTGATTAGTACATCGCAGACACTCAGGGCCTCGTCCGCCCTGCCTTCCCAGTAAGTACTGTCCGCAAGTTGCTTGGTCTACTGATCCGGCTAACAAAAGTAGTTGATCTACTCTACTTATGAATCTATCAAGATTGTCAGGTGGGCCTTCGTAGGTGGGTAGTTGGTGAACAAGGGCAAGTAGTTGTTGTAGATTCAGGCTTGTGTTTGAGGGAGTTGATGAATTGCCAAGGATGGGACTTAGTAGCCCTGATGCGTTACCGGAATCCATAGCGTTGGTAGGAATATTGTTTTGGGATTGAACTAGCTGGTCTTTCTCTTTTGTTTCTATCGCTTTCCTTTTCTCAGATAGACTGGCCTCGCTCTTTAGATCTAATCTGCCCCTAACTATGTTACTAGTGGTGACTGTTTTACATGTATTGAGAAAAAAAAACTGGCTATATTGAAGTATGGTAATGCTACGTATGTAATGTATATAGAATAGTAATAATATGTAAAGTAGTAACTATATATATGTAAATTAATTGTATGTGTATGTATTTTTGAAGTATAGTATAAATTAGGATAAATTTGCCACACGGCTTCGTTTGTGTATTAATGTGGTTAAATAGTGTACTATAATATGTGATACTATGTACATATATGTATGTATTCTTTACAAAGCAAAAGGAAAACCTGTAGTTTTGCTGCTTCTCTGTGTTTAGTGTAAGTTGTATGCCATTCGTGTAGTGCTGCTGTGTTTCCTTCCACCTTGTTGTTGTATGCGATTTAGTAAATATACAAAAAAAATTGTCGGGTCAGGCAGCAGCGGTGTAATTTTAATGTTAAATATGTTAACGTAATGTTTGTTGTAATGTTTATTTATTAGGCTTAAGTTTGTACATAAGCTTTGTTGATCGCAAGCCGACTCTCTCTCGGCCGCTCGACTCAACGGGCTTTCTATAGAGAGTTTTAGCTCGGCAATGTCTAGGTCGGGCCGCCCTCTCCACTTTCGGGAGCTTTAGCTCGAAGTGACTTGTCGGGCCGCCCTCTCTCTGTACTTTTTACTTTCGTCTCTGCTTGCACCATAAGCTGGTCTATCAGATGATCATCCGGCTTCATCTGCAGGCAGAAATAAACATTTTTATAACGTCGTACTAAAATTAAATTCGTCTTTCATTTCCCGGCATTGAAAACGCTCAATGACCAAACATTGGTGACCCCGACGTGATTTACTTAATATAATTAACAATTTAAAAAAAAACTATTGAGCCGCGAAAAAACATTTAAAAAAAAACATACATATTTACGTTCCACAAAGCAAGTGCATTCGCCCGCGCATAGACTTCATATATATATACGTTCCACAATTCCGCTACGGTTCTGAGTGCACAGTGGGACAAGTCGTGTTCGTCGCGGGCAAAATAAATTTGGAGCAAAAAAAAAAAAAAATTTTGGCGCCGGAATTATTTACTTCGGGTTGGTCGGAACTTAATAAATAAACCATGAACTCCAGCGGCGCAGACACAGGAGCACCCACTCCAACCCGTAGTGCTGTTCTAAAGTGCAAGGCCCTGGGTATTCTCCAGGACTTGCAGAGGATCCAAAGAGCTCTTCAGCCTGTTTCCAAGGTGGACGATGCCATGCTCAACGTGCGTCATGGTCAGATAGCCGCCATGTTCAGCGACTTCAAGGCCATCCACGGGGAGCTTGAGGATTTGGACATTTCGCAGATCAGTAGTGAGCTTCGATGGACTGTCTCGGAGCTGGTAGTGACAATGCAGGCCGAAATTGAGCACGAGACGACCCTTCGCTCTTCCCGAATTGCTGCCCACTCCACCTTAGCTAACGGAATGTCCACCATGCAGGTTGACTCGGGGTCAGGTCAAAGGTTTCAAGCTTTGCCTCCCTTGCCTCTTCCTACCTTCAGCGGTGGATACTCTGAATGGCCTGAGTTTACTCTATTTTCTGTACAATCGTCGGCGGTAATCCGAGCATCAGTAAGGTGGAAAAGCTGCAAAGGTTGCGATCTTGCCTGCGGGAGTCCGCTTTCGAAGCAGTTTGCTCCTTGGAAGTCTCCGATGAGAATTATGATGTCGCGCTGAATTTGTTGGATAAACGATTTAATAGCCGTCGTTTAATATTTCAGGCTCATGTGAACGAGATTCTTGGCCTCACTCTAGTGGAAGGTGATTCAATAACAGGTCTTCGAGGGTTATCCGACAAATTCAATGCCCATATGAGAACTTTGAAGAATTTGGGTTCGACGAATGAGATAGCCGGCTGCATCATTGTCCAGGTTCTTCTTCAACGGTTGGACCCAGCTACCCAGGTGAAGTGGGAGGAGAGTCTAAATTCTTCAAGTTCCGACGCCATCCCTACTTGGGAGTCGCTGGCAGAGTTTCTGGAGCAGCGATGCAGGACTTTGGAGGCTATGGATTAGGGTTGTTGGTTTTTGAAAAAATATCGTATTGATGATATTTGCTGTGAAAAAAATATCAATCGATAATATTCAGAAACATCACCAAAAAAAATCGATATATCGAGTATTTTCGATATTTTTTATAGTCAGCTAAAACTGAAAAAAGGTTATTTTTAAATTTAAAAAAAGGTTTTAATATGTGTTGTCATCCGCCATGAACTACAAACAAGACATATTTTTTATTTAAAAAGTGAATTGAAAAAACAACAAATATTTATACCCACTCTCAAGCAACTTTTATTTAAGTTCTTTGAAATAAAAAACAACAAAATTATTAAGGACATTGTATTCAAATTTATTTAAAAACAAGAAAGCAAAGCTAACTTCGGGCGGAGCCGAAGTTTATATACCCTTGCAGTTAAAACCGGATATATATCGCAAACATCAGATATAGTTGGCCGATCCTTATGATTACATCATAATAAAACTAATTAACTAAAATAAAAAATCTAAAAAAAGTCCCAAACTTCTATCTTCAAAAATACGAAAGTTGATATTTCTACCAAATACCATTTCCGATCGTTCAGTTATATGGCAGCTATAAGATATAGTCGGCCGATCCTAATGAAATTTGGTAGGTTGGATCAACTGGCCAAAAATAGAATCTGTATTAAGTTTCAGCTTTCTATCTTCAAAAACACGAAAGTTGGGTCATTTCCGATCGTTCAGTTATATGGCAGCTATAAGATATAGTCGGCCGATCCCGGCCGTTCCGACTTATATACTGCGTGCAAAGGAAAGAAGGGTGTGTGCAAAGTTTCAAGACGATAGCTTTAAAACTGAGAGACTAGTTTGCGTAGAAACAGACAGACGGACAGACAGACAGACGGACAGACGGACAGACGGACATGCTCATATCAACTCAGGAGGTGATCCTGATCAAGAATATATATACTTTATAGGGTCGGAGATGTCTCCTTCACTGCGTTGCACACTTTTGGACAAAATTATAATACCCTCTGCAAGGGTATAAAAAGTTTAAAAAAAACTTAATACAAAAAAAAAAGTTTCATGGAATTCATGGAATATGTACTTAATAATGCTAATTACTTAATTCTCTTATTTAATGCTCTTAATTACAAAATAAATCTTTCTTCAATGATTTAAAAAAAACTCTTTCGGTTATATGCTGGTATGTCATTCGACTACGGGAGTCACAGACAACACATTTAATGGCAGAAGCCAACCGTTCAGATGGAACCGAACTTCCAGGCGTGATAAGAAAACTTAAAGCAACCTTCGCTAGCATCGTCATCGTTGAAATTTGTGAGTTCCTGAATTCCAACGGATTTGTCTCCCAAATACAAAATGGCATACTCAAGTAAACCTGCATTTCCTTTCTTTCGCAACTAATATCGGAGAACACCAACTCAAAAATATTATTATCGACTATTTTTGCCCAAAAAATATCACGATAATAATATTTTTTTAAGAGAAAATATATCGATATATCGATATTTTGATATATTTCCGACATCCCTACTATGGATGTGGCCGCTGGGCAGAGCTATGGAGCGGATCCCTCTTCGGATTGGAGTGCTTCGCTGGGAGCTGATTAAGCTGTACCTCGCCCCTTACGAATATAGTTGGAGGACAGGCCCCAACGGAGGGGGGAATGTCGGGTCAGGCAACAGCGGTGTAATTTTAATGTTAAATATGTTAACGTAATGTTTGTTGTAATGATGTTTATTTATTAGGCTTAAGTTTGTACATAAGCTTTGTTGATCGCAAGCCGACTCTCTCTCGGCCGCTCGACTCAACGGGCTTTCTATAGAGAGTTTTAGCTCGGCAATGTCTAGGTCGGGCCGCCCTCTTCACTTTCGGGAGCTTTAGCCGAAGTGACTTGTCGGGCCGCCCTCTCTCTGTACTTTTTACTTTCGTCTCTGCTTGCACCATAAGCTGGTCTATCAGATGATCATCCGGCTTCATCTGCAGGCAGAAATAAACATTTTTATAACGTCGTACTAAAATTAAATTCGTCTTTCATTTCCCGGCATTGAAAACGCTCAATGACCAAACAAAAATATATATATTATTTTTCTTTTTATTTTTTTTTTATTAGAGGTTAGTGAACACGTGACAGCAATAAAAGTTATGTTGTTCATGGAATGCTTGTTGTTTTCTCTTCTTTTTCTTATTATTATTATTATTATTATTTATTTATTTATTTTTATATATATATTTTTTTTTTTTTTTTTTTTTTTGACATATAATATAGAAATAGAATGTATAGCATTTTCTTTCAATTAATTTTATTATTCTTTAGTGTGTAGTGCAAAAAGGGAATTCAGCAATGTACAAGCCAAACGGCACCAAGTGTCACTCCGCCACTCCGGCGCGTAATCGGCTCATGGCGGCAGCCACTGCACAACGACGCAACAAGAGTTTCACGAGCGGCGTAACACAAATACATACAATGTTTGCCTGATATTTGCCGAAGGGAACAGTATAATATTTGTGCAGGTTTAATTTATTCTACCATTTTTTTTTTTTTTTTTTTTTTTTTTGTTTTAGTGTTCTTGTTTTGTTTTTCATAATAATACATTTGCATTCATGTAAATTGACAAATGGAAACGATCCCGGTGTCTTAACAGCGATTGTTGTACACATATACGGTCGTTAATCACACAACTTACATTTATCTTTGTAAACCACTGTGTGCAGATTGTCCTCTTCCGTTGTCGGCGATTGATAAATGCGTTGATATCGAGCTCTGGTCACAACGAAGTCTAATGTTCGACTGATCTATTTCCTTAATTTGCTTCTTCAGTGAACCATACTCGGCGACAGCGGTGCCAGGCTGTCGTCGCGTCGTAACGATTGTTCTTGGAGACGCCAAACCACAACAACCAATCACAATTCAGCTATAGGCTGATGCAATAGTAGCGTGGCTCTCTCACATGTGCACACAAAGTGCTCTCCGACACACACACGATCGCCACACACAGCAGTTTAAGATGTCGAATTTTTTTTTTTTTTTTTTTATTTATATTTTTTGTTTCTGTTGAGCTGCTGCTGTG